TGAATTAAGATTTTTCCCATTTGTATAGAATATTCATTTGGGAAGATGGAAGCTTGGAGATCAATAACATAACAAGGAATGATGGTGGTACCTATACATGCTTTGCAGAAAATAATAGAGGGAAGGCAAATAGTACTGGGACTCTTGTTATCACAGGTAAGAAAGAATTTGACCAAAATAACCTTTTTTTTTAGTTTAGCATTGATATATTTCTAATGTACTATAAGATGTGGTTCAGTGCTAAGCTTCTAAGAAGTCAATATATTGATAAGTTTCTATTAAAAAAAAAACCTCTGGGCAAACCTCTTGTTTGATAAAATTGTTCCTGGAACTTTAATTTGAAATCATCATATTTGCATAGAGAACTCAAAATATATTGATTTTTATGCTTTTAATGCATTAGATAATATTTTCTTGAATTGTGCTTTACTCCTTTATTTAAAACTGTGCAGATCCCACACGAATTATATTGGCCCCCATTAATGCTGATATCACTGTTGGAGAAAATGCCACCATGCAGTGCGCTGCTTCCTTTGATCCCGCCCTGGACCTCACATTTGTATGGTCCTTCAATGGCTATGTGATTGATTTTAACAAGGAGAACATTCATTACCAGCGGAATTTTATGGTATGTGTTTTAAGTTTTCTATTATTAATATCCTAGTGACCACATGTGTCTGCACTGTAATTCTGTTACTATAATAATTTACATGAGACCGAAAAATAGAAAAAAAAACAGCATTTCATGGGTATTCTTAGGTTAATCAGAGTACTCTTGAACCTTTCTGAGAGAGGGCAGCCCTGAGTATTTGGGTAAAAATATTAATCAATAAATATTCTTTGTGTTTTAGGTCCATTTTCTCCTTAATTAGAATATAATTTTTATATTGATGTACTACACCCCTCACATTAACTTTAAATATTAACTTTAAATGAGGTAAGAACATAGAACTTATCATTTGTTAAAATGATTAATTTAAAGCATTCACTTTATTCTTTGAGGGTAAGAAATAAATAGATTTCATATATATACACACATACACACACATATGTATATATAAAACGGGCGTCTGTCCAGAAAAAGTCCAGCCATTGTTAATATAATGAGAATAGTTTGCATGACATCAACGTAACCTGGCAGCCAAGGAGAGTGGGCTGGAATGCGTATGTGTGAACAATGACAACTTCACTGTACTAGTCAATGGAGGTGGTAGACGCCCATTGAACGAGCATGTGCACTCTCTGTTTGTCACTTTTAATATAACTAAGCAAGTAGAGCAACAAATCTGCATCAAATCTTGTGTTAAGCTTGAACATTCCTCCATGGAAACTATTCAGACGATTCAGAAGGCCGCAGGTATGAGCAACTGGTGATTGGCAGCTTCATCATGACAACACACCTCCTCATGTATCATGTCTCATGCAGAGATTTTTGTCAAAACATCAAATCCCCCAAGTGACTCAGCCCCCTACAGCCCAGATTTACGGCCCTGCACCTTCAGGCTTTTCCCAAAACTAAAATCACCTTTGAAAGAGGAGAGATTTCAGATTGTCAATGAGTTTCGGGAAAATACAATGTGGTAGCTGACGGTGATTGGGAGAACTGTGTGATATCCCAACGTGCCTACTTTGAAGGGGATTGAGATGTCACTTTCATGTGTATAATGTTCCTTGTATCCTGTATCTTCTTCAATAAATATCTCTATTTTTCATATTATATAACTGGATACCTTCTGGACAGACCTCATACACATATGTGCATATATAGGTGCATATATACATATATACACATATGTATATACACACATATTGGGAAGTTTGGAGAACAAATCTGTGTGACTTGAAAGGGTTAAGTGGCTATTTTATTTTATGCAGAGGAAGCATACATGTTACAAGTCCTATAATTAAATATAGGGATGTCTTTTTATAGAAATAAAGGAAGTAGGTAGAAGGAAAAGACTGGGAAGTGATGCAGGAATAACAATTTGGTTGGAAGCATCATTTGTGCATTGATAAGTCTGTATAGTTTACCATGTATTTTAAAAGCAAATTGAGCACCACCCCTACAAATTTGTTCTCTAGACCGGTGACTGTTTAGGAACCTAAAAACCTATATAGAGTATATGCTTAGTTAAGAAAACTTTAATTTTATTTTTAGAAGTCAATTACGGATATAGAAATAAAATTTAAGTTTGAGTTAATTCTGAGTTAAAAAAATGTATAAGATTTTTAAAGTCCCATGAAATCTGAAGATTGGGGGTGTGTGTGTATGTGTGTGTGTATGAAATATATATAGTATTACATTTTCAAATAGTCTAGTGCTTGTAAAAAATTCTTCTAGAATGTTCCATTTTAAAAAGCCAGAATAATTTTTCAATCAGGTTAAAATTGATTTTAACTAGATGGAGGCATTTCTCTTAAATTTTATTAACTTGGTTCAAAGAATAACTATTGATGCAATCATCAGTGTTAGTGTCTTTCATATGTTAAATATAATTTTTTTCTTTCTGTTTAATCTAGTAGATTTAACTATAACTGTAAGTCTACAGTAAATCCATCAATTGTCTTTGTTTCTGAACTGAACTTTCACTTTAAAAAATAACAACTAGGAATTGGCAGAGAACTATTTTAACATTCCAACACATGATATTCTTTCCTTATACACCTAAAACTATGTTGATATGCTTAATCATAATCATGCCCAGCATTAGTAAAATTGACACCAGTATCTTTAATAATTACTCAAATTGTGTTTTGTTTTGTAAGAAAAGCCAATGCCACTCAGTTTGTTCTCAGTTTAAGAAAAAATAAAGCGAGCTAAACAGAGATCATATTTTTTAAAAATAGACTTTTGAATTTGCTCATTTCTTTGGTTTGATAAATTGAAAAATTCCAAAAATATAACAGCCATAATTTAATAGCTGCTGTGAAGTCTATATAAACAGATTTGGGGGTATAAATTCTTCTAAATTAAACTGAAACTTCATGTGTGGAGCCTCCTGACGTTCTTTAACATAATAGTTACATTGCAGTGGTTGATATAAATAAACATTTCAAAAAAAGAAATTAAGAAAGGGAAAGAGGGAGATAGAAGAATAAGAGTCCCTTGACTTAAAAAGAGTAGAAAAGAAAGGACTGGAACATGTGTTAAATAAATAATAAAGGAGATCATAGAAAGGTAACAGACTTTGACCACCATTTACTGCAGTCCCTCACTCTGCAGAAGGCAGACACGGAGGTTCACGTAGTTGCTCCTCAGCTGGTCTAGCGGAGAATCCACACTGCAGGCCCATGCCCTGGACTCACAATGCTGGTTTAGCCCAGTCCACCAAATAGTGATCTATGAGTGGTAGAAAAAATACTCACTGACTAAATATGCAACTTAATTGGGTGAATATGCCACAGGCACATATTAACACTTTGTAGATGGACAGTTAAGATTCAATTCTTTAAATACCAAAAATGAAAAAAAAAGATAAGTATATATGTTAAAATAATTAAGCTTAATTCTGTCTTTTGAATCTAAGAAACATATAAAGCTTTCCCTCATATCTTCCTTCACTTTTAAGGCAAACTTCAAAGTCAGACTTCACTGCTAAATGTACAACGCAAAATTCAAGTGAAAACACCATATGTGTTTCATCTTTTTGGAAGACAGTCCTATGGCTAGTAATTGCTTCTGGGCTCTTTAATAGATCACTGTCCTAAGGAGTGACTCTTTCTATCTAAGGCTGAGTGAATGAAACATAACAGAGGTAGCAAGTATTAGGGACCACAAATGCAAAGCAAGGAACATTGCTAGCTGCAATGCCTATTATTCAAGTGGCATAGGTGAGGATATCAGTATATAATTTTTTGGTTCCTTAAATAATATTTTGATTTAATTCTGGTAATACTTCAATAAGGGAGTAGTATTTATTCATTTAAAAATATTGTGCTGGGCATGTATCACAAGTCAGGAAGAGTGACAGGCACTAGAGTGAATAAAACACTGAAAGGTACAAACACAGGTGCTGACCCAAAATAAGCCAGAGCTACTCTGTGAGTTTAAAATTCAGATGTAAATGTTTTGGCTGCTATCATGGTTATCAAACTGATGTTGTTATCATCATATTGTTTTAATAATTTTAATTGTGAAAATTAATATCAGGAGCTCTAATTAATAAAGAGAATTTAGAGTTCAAAATTTATGCTTTTTATTTCATGAACCTATATTTTTATTTTCCAATTTAATTTTAATAAGAAATGCTATTCAGTAATCAAGTCTGCTTTAATTTTAACTTGCTGTTCCTGATTTTGACCACCATGTGGCAGCCTTACATAAGGTTTCCAATTTTAGTCTGGCATAATTGTTTATGAAATTAAATACATTTTCCCATGTACTTATATCTAAGATTCGTGGTTATAAGTAGCTTTAAAGTTTCTTCTTTATACTTTTTTCCAATTATATTTATATGATTATCATAAAGTAACTACATTTTAGAAGATACATTTTTTAAAGAATTTATAGTGAACAGGAAACAAGATTTGTGACAGTGAACACACTACAATGCATACAGACATTGAATTATAATATTTTATCTGAATGTATAAATAAATATATTAAGTAATTTATAGTGAGCACCAAAAAAAGCAAAAATAACATTGCCATTCCATTTAATAATCCTGCTTTTGTAAAACAACTTGGAATTAATTTTTTTAAATGTAAATAAACACTCAATACTGATTATACACTAAGTATACACTTAGTAGCACTAAGAAGTATCTAATTTGCTTATCATGTCATTTATTTCTTTATTTATTCAATAAATATTCCCTGAATGTTATATTGTTACGGGATGTGGGTCAGTTAATGTTTCTCTTAAACTTGAACCCAGCATAGAAGGCAATTTAGAATATATAAGATCATAAATTTAATTACCTTGGAGATTTGATACAATAAGCTATTAATGCAGTTTCTCTGGCATTCTTTTATTCTAAGTGATATGGCAAATACTTACGTTTTCCAAGTCCAACTATGAAATGGCTTCTATTTTGACTTTCCAATTCGATAGCTATTTATCCCCTTAAATACAAAAAGGCAGAGTAATTTTATTTACCCATTTAATTTATAAACCCTCTTGTTCTAGAAAGTCCTTAGATTACACACACACAGACACACACACACACACACACATACACACTAGCATATCTGTAGCATATCATTTATTCCTCTCCCATAGTGATGACTGATCTGCAGAAATTATTTTTTAATAGCCACCTATCTTTTGACATCAACTTTTTGTCATTTCCTTTCAACTATTGGACAACATTCTCCCTGTCAGAGCTATTATCTTTGTTAACCACATGAGTTTCTTAAACTTACCAATTCTGGCTGTCCCAATATTTTTTTTTCTGATTCTTTTATTACAAGTAAGTGTTAAAATTGCACTTAAGCGAGAAGTTATTGCTTGGCTGCTTTGAATTCATAAACATCATATACATCCCTCAGAGACTGTGCCACAATGAACCCTGGGTTCTCAGCTCCATTTTTTCACTTCTTATTCTGTGACTGAGCCTATGATTAAGCCTCTCTAAGCCTCGGATTTTTTCCTCTGTAAAATTTTATTAATAATTCACTTCATTCAGGTTACTTCATTGGGTTTGCAAAGCCAGTTACTTCATAATATTTTTTGTGAGGATTCAATGAGAAAATGCCTATAAACTTCTTGGCACAAGATCTGGCTGATTGTAAGTGATTACTATGAATACTCTTTATAATAGAAAGAATCATTCTCCATTGAAAATTTCTAAAGCTTTTGCCAAATAGTTGTTTTTTCTATTACAGATCTCATTTTTCATAATTTAATTCTTGCACTGCTTGCTGTATGGAACACTTGGTCCAAGACAAAAATTTACTGAGTCCAGTAAAGAAATAATAAATAGTCCACATTTGTTGAGTTCTCCCTATTGACCAGCATTGGGTTAAATGTTTTCCATGTATTTCTCAGTTGACCTTCACCAGAGTCCTCTATGGAACACATATTATTGTGATTTTCTTAATTTTCAAGATGAGGAAACTGAGGATTAAAATGGTTAAGTAACTTGCCCAAAGTAATCTTGCAAGTAGCAGAGAGAAGATTTGAACCCTAATTGTCTGATTGCAGGCCCTATGCTCCTTATCACTTCAGTTTTTAATCCACTGGTTAATATTCATACCTACATCAGTTTAGGTAACCCTCCTCCCATTGTTTGAAACACTGTAAAACAACGTTCAACTCATAATTTATTGTGTAATCTTGTTTAGTGAGCCATTTATGCCTATTCAAGGTTATCTGATTTCCTTCATTTTGCCTATACTGTTAGCTACCTTTGCTATACATGTAAATCAATTCTGTAGTCTCAGGTGGTCCAACAATAAAGTTCTAGGCAATTCTTAATGATCTCCTTTAGGCACATGCATGTATATGTTTGCTGGTATGTGAACATACATTCATTTTGACTTTAGTGACAACACCAAACATTCTTACCCTTCATTCTTAACAAACATTCTTAACTAAAGGATACAGACTTCTTACAGGCTATGTTTCTTTTTCAAAGAAAATATTAATTATACTGAACTTGTCACAAAAAATATGTTAAATAGTAAAACATATATATTCCATACTATAGCATGTTATGAACTTGAACAAAACTTCTGCCTCTGTAAGACATGCAAAAAGAGAAAAACAGAGAGAAACAATAATAATAAAAGAGAAGTTATTTTTTTTCAATTACACAGTTTTTCTTATCCCTGTTGACCAAGGTGAAGATCGTCCAGAGTTATGGAGTACCACGTTGGAAGAGAAAAGGAAGGTTGGGCAGCAACCCTGAAAAAAGAAAAAGATCAAATTAGAGCTACAGAAAGCACAACAGGAGACCAAGCAGGCACAGTGAGATGCTATAAGCCCTAAAGTGGCACTTTTAAACCAGGAGCAATTTTTCTCTCAAGGCAGTGTTGGCCATACTTGGAGACACGTTTGGTCGTCACAACCGGCAGGGTGGTTGGAGGAGGGCTGTGTGTTCCGAGCAGCTGTTTACCCCATGTGCTGCTGAACACCCTCCCATGCCCAGGACAATCCCCACAACAGAGAATTATTTGGTCCAAATTGTCAAAAGTGCCAAGATTGAAAAATGCCATTCCGATGGGAGATAAAAAAAGACTTGGAAATAAATGGATTGGCCACTGACAGGTTTTAAGCATGATGTGCTAGACACAAGGAGAAGTTGTATAATCCTGAGCAGATGAGAGCACTGAGAACAAAAAAAAGTATTATAAGAGGCTAAATCAAGCATTTTCCAAAGTAGCATGAAGTAGAGGATAGAATTAAAGTGTTTTATGAATTTAAGATCATATGTTTTGATGAGCAGTGGAAGAGAAAAGGAACTACATAAAATGTGTATGATCCCCTGACACACAGTTCTGTGACCCACACAAAACTTGCAAAGGCACCATACCTGTGGGCAAATCTTCTCTCTGTTCGTATCAGTAATCAACTGGAAAAGAGGCAAAGATTTCTGGCATACCTCTCTCTTTTTGCATGTATGTTAGAACATACAACTTTTCTGACTTTCCTTTTACTATCATAATAACCTTTACCTACACCTAATTATTGTCTTTTATTTGCCCTTTTCATTGGTAAATACAGAGGTAGGTATCTATGTTCACGAGATGTGTCTATACCTGGGTTAGCTTTTTTAGATCATCACATTTCTAGTGTAGAGACCATGTGAGCTAAAGTTACTCTGTAGCATAGCATTGCATAATCTAGTTTTTAGTAAGCATTTGTTGGTAGCAATGCTAAGTGAATGGAATTAAGCTTATATAGAAGCTATTTTTTGTTCTTTAGAGATGTATTGGCTTGGAGTAATCTCCAAAATTGCATTGAAAATTAAAGAACCATTTGTTTTACATAGAACTCCTTGCATACTTATGCATTGCTGCAGTAATTATTCTGGCTTTTATGCTTGCAAAATACAGTAAGTATTTAAAATAAAAATAAGGGAAATAATCATGTAAACTTTGGTGTTTTAGTAATTTTAATATTTTAAATTGTGGGCTTTGATTTTTTTTTAATTTCTGATATCACAGTAGAAATTCCTCATTAGCTGTTGTATTCCAATCAATCAATCAATGAATGCAATGCAATCATTTTTCCAGTTGGTTTTTAGAAACAGAACACTTTCTAAAGACCTGGATTTTGGTTCTGGTTTTGCCATTGAACAGTTATATAACCCTGGGTTATACTCTGAGCCTCAAGCTTCTCCCCTCTCATATGAATAAGCTGGGCTACATTAGAAATTTTGAAAAACAACAATATAAAGTCTTTAGCAACAAAATCCTTTCTGCAAAGAAAATTTAAATCAGAACCCCAATAAAAAAAAAGATGAATATAAGTTTGCTCTGATTAAAGAGAAGCATGTGCTTGTATGTGTGAGCGTGTAGGGGATGACATGGTCAAAGGCCCTAGCCTCCGGGTTTCTCACTCCTTCCTGTCCAAAAAATGCCCCCTCTGATCCCTTCCTTCGACCGAGTGGTCCACGAAGATCTTTAGAACCCTGAGGCTAACAGGAGCCAATTTGAAAACCATATGAATTAAACGACATCCAAGTTTTCTTTCAACTCTAAAACATAGGTTCTAAATCCAAAGCTTTGATGTTTTAGTCCGTCATTCAAAATGCTTTGCAGAGATTTCAAGAAAAATTTCTTCCTTTTTGATTTTTAATTTAAAATGAGCCAATTTATCAAAATTGGACTCTTCAGCCATCAAAATAGTCATATTTAGAGATTTTCCACGTTTCCACTGGTTGTATAAATTACTGGGTAACTTCTTACTAATTTTTCTCAACCATGTCCCTTACTTATGTAAGTTTTTATATTTTCAATAACATTACTTCATTTTAATAAGTTTTAGTAATATATTTTTAAATATATTTATATTTCATCTTAATGCGGATGTACTACTTAAAATAACACTAACTTGAATATAAGATAGTATTAAGAAATTAATAATGTGTGAAATGGATTTCTGACTATGTAAGAGAATGGCCTTAGTTTTTTGGATATTCATTGTAATATTTTGAGGAATAAAGTATGATAGCATCAGTCATTTGTCTTTTAAGTGTTCAGCAATAGATAGTAGATAGAGAAAAACAAAGATTGAACTAGCTAGCTAGATAATTAGACAAAGCAAATACAGCAGGAAGTTTACAATTATTGAATCTAATTGGTTGGTATACAAATGGCCATTGTACTATTCTATTTTCTTATGTTTGATCACATAAATAAAATAATTACATATTGTATTCTTCCTGCTGCAAGAAAGTATCCACTTTTACCTACCAAACTATGAACTTAAATCCCCTTGTTCAATCTATAAAGCACTAGTTTGGCAACAGCTTGACCTGGTAGAAACCAGGAATATATATTAACTCTTAAGCCTTCCATCAGTACCTTAACTTAAAACCTCAAATTTCTTCTTTCTAAAATGGAGTCTCAATTTCGTTGGAGAAGAAAGAATCTCTCCCTAAGAAGTATGAATTAAATAAGACATCGTCTGTAAAGTAGCCAGCAATTTGCCATTACCTCTAAAAGGCATTTAACAAATTCATAGTAGCGATGGCCATGGCAGTAGCAATAGTAGAAATAGTAGTAGCAGTTTAACAGTGGTATTTGTAGCAGCTGAAACATCTGTCATTTCTTGCTCCTTATAACGTGAAAGATTGTTGCCTCACCTTGAGCATCCCTTTACTTCCTTGCAAAATAAGAGCAATGGTCCCATAGTTACTGTTCTCCAGGGCATCTCCTTTCTTAAAGATTGGGATATTTGTTCAGTGTTTCCAGTATGCAGGCACTTGTTTTGTTTCCATATTTGTTGACACATTCACATTAGGATTTTTGACAGATTAAGTTTTTGTGTCTCTAAATAATTCTATTGGTATCCCATCTATCCTGATGAGTTATTTTTTTCCCAGTAATTTCAGGCAGGGTTCTTTGGAAAAGACAATAGATGGGGGGATAGAAGGCAGCAGGAGAAGAGGAAAACCACATGTGGGATGGTTTGGCTTCATAAAAGAAACCATAGGCATAAGTCCACAGGATCTGAGCAGGACAACACATTGTGGACATCACTTATTCATAGGGTTGTCAGGAATCAGAGCTGGTTCAATGGCACACGACACACATTAGTAGCAAGAGTCGTATCCTATTAACAGCAAAGGCAGTAGCGGTAATAATGGTTATAGGTATAGTAGTATTGCATCCTCATCTCTATAATATGGTTAAGGATACTACTTATCACATAGGGCTGTTAAGAGCAAGTGTGTTTGCACATGTAAAGTATTTATAATGGTGCCTGGCACCTAGAAGCCTTTTACTAAATAGTTGCTGTTAGTTGTGTTGATGATGGTGGTGTTAAAGTTTCCCACCAACATAAAGTTGCATATGATATATTTGCTATAGTTATATTTTCTTAACCTAACATGCCAAAAGTAATAAAGAAAAATGTTTAGTTTTCATGAATATAGCATATAATATATGCTTATAAGTTGCTAGACTGTTCTCTTAAAAAAGATATTCTTTCCTCCAACCTTTTGTATCTATGACTTCATTCTGAACGCTGACAGAACAAAAGAGATGTTTTTGCTGCTATACAGCCAGCATGAGCTCTATGCTTTATCTAGCCAGTGTGTATACCATATCAGTACCATATTTCTTGTTTCGTTATGAGTAATTTGTTGTTAATACAACTTAGTAATTCAGATTCATTGATACGTCAGGAATGACTTTGCAGAGGTACTTCATGGCAGAGGGGGGAAGGAAGATATGGGCATTTATATTTTGGAAACCTTTTTATTTAAATTTGGGAAATTTCTAAGTGGTAAACCACATATACACTTTGGAATATCCCTGAGCGGTGCTATCACAATTTCCAGGATATGATTCAACTCTCCTCATGTGAAGGGAAGCATTTTGTAATTCAGCCAAGCTGTGGTTTTTAGTGAAAAATATAGAGAGCGTTCATATCTAATTTGTGGCGAGAATGTGCTGAGGTCCATGTTCTTTACTTGCTTTGTAAGCTTTCTGTTGACCACTGAGAACTTCAACTTCTCCTGAGGTATGAAAAGTGCTAGTACCATTTATAAAAACTTCAGTAATGCTTTTATACATACACAGCTATATTGGAAGTGATATACTATGTTTGTCATTCGCTTTCCTTCTGAGGCATTTCAGTGTCACCTTCACCAAATATAGAACAAATCAGAATAAATGTTAAAGTCACTTACTATTGCTTTATATAAGTAGGCTTATCATTACAGACCTAAGTTCCAATGTTTTAAAAAAAGAGCTGACTTTTGAAATGAACTAAGCATTAAACTTCTAGAATAGTTTAATTAAGAGTTTTAAAAAATGTAGCCTAAAGATTTAATAAGTATGCATTCAATATAATGTTTAGACATAAAATCATTTGTTTTTAATTACATGTGAAAAGTATGAAAAGAATGACTCCATTATTTATCCCAGAATAAAATAAGTAAAGACTAATATGCTTCAAAATGAGAGTGAGAAAAAAAGACCAATTTCATTTTGAAGAAAAGAATATTAGGTTTATAGTACTCAAAATTTTAAAAAGGGTAATTACAGTGTCACAAATCTTAAAAAAAATTATATATGTATTTTCCTGTCTTCAATTTATTTAAAATTAAGTAAAAGTATTTTTAATTTTGAAAGTGTTTTATTTTTTAAATTCCAATCTAATCACATGACTCATTGAAATAGTGGCGTTTAATGACAGGATTTTCTCTTCCTTAGATACATAATGTAAACAAAGTAGTGAGTTCTATGAAAGCATAAAACAGAACTAAGTGCTTTTTATTTTTCTGCACCTTTTCCCAAATATAACTATTATCATATAACAGTTTTAAAATATTTTAATATCTTTTCATTAATAAATATTTAGTGTCAAAGTACAGTGCTTTTAAAGATGTCAAAGCACATAAAAACACTCTGTTTTACAAATATATAGTGTTTAAATTATTTTATTTTACCATAATTATTTTATACATTTCCGCAAAAAATTGCTCAGAAATGTGCCAATTAGTCTTTAGAAAAATTGTCTTCCTCACAATTTTCCTCATTCTCTCAAAATGTTTTTTAAAAATAGGAGTTATAAATAATAAAATAACATTTTTCTGGCTATTCTATTAGAAGAATTCTAGTTACTATGGTATGAGGACTTAGGCCAAGAACAAAATTGGGCATAGTCCCCAAGATCATCTTTACTTCTGAATCCAACTACAAACTCTGGGCATTGCCGAAACCAATCTCAGGGTTGAGGTGCTGGAAGGAACTCAAAGAACTCCCTGAAAGCTATCATACTTAGGGTTACAGTATTGTACAGGAAAGGTGTACAAATTGAAATCAGGCTAGGGAAGAAGTGCACAAAGCAGAGTCCAGGAGCAATATCAAAGGCAGAACTTTTATTGTTCTCTTCTCATAGAGTCAAGGTGCATTACTCTGTCAGCTTTGGTATGTAGAAATAAGCATAGAATATTGCTAAAGTTTACCTGAGCTTTGGTGTCCAGAGATTTTATTGGGGCTAATCACATAGGCATAACTGATTGATTGCCCAAACAGTTCATCTCAGTCTCTAGGCTGCCTGATATCACATGACCAAAACCCCTATTCTGAGTTTCAGTGTTGCTCTTTCTGACATAGCCAGCCCCTACTGGAAAGCTATACCGGTGTGGTTAATTCCTAACCTAAATCACAGTGTAGGCCCAAGATACCCAAGCAAAGAAAGACACATGGACTACCTTTCAGTAGTTGAAGACAAAAAACAGGCCTCTCTTTGGAAAAGGCTAAGTTCTTTATAAAACATACAGGTTGGACAAATGGGTTTCCATTTTTTTAATGTGTTTACTGCATTCTTCTCTCTATAAATGCTCACATTATTCCTAAAACATTTATATTTCTTCATGAAATTAATGTATAAATAATTTTAAATATGCTATTAATGGGCAATTGATTTCATGTATATGAATAGCTATAATTGTTCTCAGTTCATCTGTTTTAATTACTAACATTATCATCATACATGTGAAAAAATCATATGATATTACTAAAAAAATTCAGTGAAAATATTTGAGGTAAAAGGTATTTATTAATTCATCTATACAATATTTATTTGTTGAATTCCTCTTGTATGTCATGTGTTTCAATGTTATTTGTATGTGATAATAAGATCTAGTCCCTCCCCCTAGGAATTACAATCTAATAGAAAAAAATGAATGACTAAACAATTATAGTAGAAAGAGGTAGTTGCAATGAAAATGTACAGAAGGCATTGCGTAACCCAGACTTTAGATTCCGGAGAAGAAAGCGGCATCTACAGTGTGACTGGAAGTTAGCCAAGTGATAGAAGTGGAAGACAGAGGGATCCAGGCAGTGCAAGTAAGATGTGCAAAGGTCTTCAGGAAAGAAAAGAAATAAAGCCTAAGTTGTCTCCAGAGGCTAGGACACAGGAGTTTGATGAAGAAATAGTCAGAGGAGGTATCAAGAGTGTATACTTCATGCGGACACCAAAGTACGTCTCATTGTGTGCTTATGAAGTGCTGTAATTGTCACAGGCTATATGAACTTGCTCCGCTAATTCTGCTTGTAGCTGAAGTGAATATATGTAACCTTCAGAGCAGATGTCAGCCTTGCAAGGACTTGTTGGCTGATTGATTGATGGTGGTGATTCTGACAAGTGTGAAGTGGTATCTCATTGTGATTTTAATTTGCGTTTCTCTGATAATTAGTGATGTTGAGCATCTTATCACATGACTATTGGTCATCTGTATGTCCTTTTTGGAGAACTGTTTATGGCTATTCAGGTCCTTTGCCCATTTCTTAATTCGACTGTTTGTTTTTGTGGCGTTGATTTTTATAAATTTTGGACAGTAAGCCCTCATCAAAATGTATTGGCAAATAAGGAGTTACCTCAAAAAATTAAAAATGGAACTGCCTTATTATTTTACTTCTGGGAGTATATCCAGAACACTAATTTGAGGGAATATATGCACCCCTACAGGCATTGCAGCATTATTTATAATAGTTGTAATTTGGAAGCAGCCCAAGTGCCCGTCAGTAGATGAGTGAATAAAAAAACTATGGTACATTTACACAATGGAATACTACTCATCCATAAAAAGACGGAAATCTTACATTTTGTGACAGCATTAATGGATGTGGAGATTATTATGCTAATTGAAATAAGCCAGTCAGAGAAAGACAAGTACTGTCTGATTTCATTTATATGTGGAATATAATGAACAAAATAAACTCACAAACAAAGTAGAAACGAACTCCTAGATACAAAGAACAGACTGACAGCTGTGAGAGGGAAAGGGGTCTGGGAGCCAGATGAAAAAAGTGGAGGGATGAAGAAAAAAACTCATAGACATAGCTAACAGTATGGTGATAACAAGAGGGAATGGAGGGTATGGAAGGTAAAGGAGTGATAAATGGTGATGAAAGGAGCCTTGACTTAAGGTGGTGAATGCACAATACAACATAAAGATGATATATTATCGAACTGCACACCTGAAACCTATATAATTTTATTAACCAATATAACCCCAATAAATGTATTTAAAAAAGCAGATGTCAGAATATTTGATAAGCAAGTCAACTAGTTCGTTCAAACAATGTATATTTAGTGTTATTATGTTCCTGGCACTGTGCCGATTCCTATGAATACAGCACATATAGCTCTACACATATGTAACACAGGGATATACTGCTGAACAAAACAGGCATATTTCCCCCTCAATGAACCTTATAGCCTTCCACAGAGACAGACTTTAATCATATAATTATGCACATATTTCATTGCAATTGAGACATATCATATGACATAAAATAAAAAGTGCTGTGACAAAATATAACAAGAGAATATAGAAAGGCTTGCTTGAGGGAACGACTTCAACTGGTATCGGTAGAGAGAGAGTGTGTTGTTTAGGTGATGGCGGTGAGAGAGCAGGTAAGAGGGCACTGTAGTTCCAAGGAAGCAACGCCATGGAGAACCAGCGATCAGAGGGACCAAGACACAGTTAGGTCCTAAAAAGGAAATGCTCTTTTGGAAAACAGAGTATAAGTGAAATGATGGCATTAGGTGAACTGGACTATTGGACAGAGTATACTGAATGGAACCAGGTTAGTCATTATAACACTTTTATTCCAGGAAGGGGACATTTTTAGAGATTTCAGGGTTTCTTTCTTTCTTTATTTTTTCTTTTTTCTTTTTACAAAGTGGGGTTATTGGTCACATTTGCATTTTTAAAAGGTCACTCTGAGTGACAAATGGAGAAAAGAAGAGAGTGGAACAGGGGTGAAAATCATGATGAAATGGGCTATAGTAGTTTAGTGAGAGATGTTGGTAGCTTGGAGAAAGGAGGAGGCAATAGTGATAGAACGAATGATAAATTCCAGTATTTATGTGGGAATATAAGGAAGTTGAAGAAGATACAGGGTTGAGAATGTCTGCAAAGTTTCTGGAAGGTGTGTTGTCTAGAAAAGTTGAGTGTTTTGGAAAGGAAAGTCAAATGTTATTAGAAGTCAAGCAAAATGAGTTGAAGAAATGGGATCCACATTACAATGGATTGAGGAATAAGAGGTAAACATACAGAAAAAACTAAAAAGAGAAATAAGGTTTTGAAGTAAGTAATGTTAGAATCCAAGCAACCATCAAAGAATTAAGCAGCTTAACATAAAGGAATAAAAATAATTCTTTGTCCAGGGGATAGAAGAGAAAAACAGAGAAGAGATGGGAGTGGGTGTGGAGTAGATACCAACGAGAAGGCAGAGCGCTGGGGGAGGTGATGGTTCCTGCGGAATTCCTCTAAAATATAATCAATGGGAATTTTTAAGAATAGAACTGTGATTTAAATGATAATACTTGGTGTGGATTTACCCTACCTTGCGGGATACAACGAGTTCCATCTCCTTCAATTCTTCAGTATGGACCTCTGCTAGTAAAAATAATAAAGTGTTAAAGATATGAGGGCTAAAATGCACCTTAAGTAGTTCACTCCCTTTATTTTTCGCTGGAGAGAGCCCAATGCTTAAGTAACCTAAGCAAAGACATGTGGTTAGCCTATCTACAATAGATGCCTTTGCTCGGTGTTCATTTTATCAGGGGCAAATGTCCTTCTTGGATCCTCAGTGCCATGTAATCGGTGACACTGTGTTGGTCTGAATGACTGCTGCTCCTGTTTGCAGCTGGATGCCAATGGGGAACTGCTCATTCGGAACGCCCAGCTGAAGCACGCGGGCAGGTACACGTGCACCGCGCAGACCATCGTGGACAATTCCTCAGCCTCGGCCGACCTTGTTGTGCGAGGTAAGGGTTTCAACATTCTAAAAGGTTAAAACCAAAGTTATTTCATTTGCATGGATATGTATAATTTTCTGGTAACTCTGTCTCGAATTCTGATATATTTCGAGTCTTGATCCTTGAGAACAGCTTCTCACTCCTGCCTAAGAATTTATGCCAGACGTGTAGTAAGCAACACTGATTTTGTTTATTTTTCTAACTACATGTCTTCTAGAAATTTACATCACAACCTCCTACTAAATGTTTGCGTTTGTAAACTTAGTACTTACCAGAAGTTCTCAGTTCCTGCTAATACTTTCTGTGTGTTGAGTGTAGCATTGCCTCCTTCTTTATTTTTTATGCAAAAAATATACTGGTGCCAAATGTTACGTATTTATTACTATTGTAGAATAAAATAAATGTATACATGTGTCATACTTCTATTTTGTGCTTGCTTTCAGACTTTTCCGTTCTTATAAATAATTGAGAATATGCTGGGATACACACTTGTCAATAATACAACCCTTCTGCTACTGACTACTGTATAGATGTGAGACAACCTCAGAACATGCTTTATCTTTTCAAAAATCATTCTTTGGCTCTTTGCTCACTAACTACAGAATGAAGGCTGTTCCTTTTAACTAAGCACCCAAGAAGTTCCATGGGTTGACCTCAGCCATAAGCCTTAATCTCTCACTATTCCTCATAACAAACCCTGCTATCCAGCTAGTCCACAAAAATACCCTAGTATTTCCACTTCTGTTCCTTGATTCACAGCATTCTTTCCAGGTCCTGTTTTCATTGTTTGTTGTTCAAATCTTATCTATCCTTCAGAGTTAGATGCAAGTATTAACAAATTCATGAGTTCTTTCTGAATGTCCCAGATATGAGCCACTCTCCTCTAAACTATCATAACAATGACTACTTCTCTGGCGTTTTGTATCAATCTGGATACACAAATTATCTTCTCTACTAAGTCATGTAATTTACATATACATTTTTATTAATATTTAGTAAGCTGCCAAACTCCATTGCATTGTTTCATTGCTCTCTTTTATTCTCTGTGCCTATTTTTTTCTACCAGAAAAAAATATATATTTTTTGCATTTCATCTAATAGAAATACTGATTCATCATTATTTAACTGCACACTTCAGTAAATTTTTTACACAGACAAGTAAAATGATACCCGTGGTTTGTCTTATTTTTCCTTCCAGATCTAGCTCAATCTAATTTCCCTCAATCTCATGTGCCTCCTGCACTTTCCTCTAGAGCAATGGTAATGTGCAGTCCTCACAATGTCACACCAGGAAAATGCTGAAAAGCATTTTATTCTAGTTAAATATGTTCTCCAACAGAATGATAAGAAGTCAGTCTGAAATGTCTTTATCCAAATGAACTTAGACATTCATTTCCTGTACCACTTATTTGAATATTAATAAAACGCCAAGGCTACAAAATACTAAATCAAAGAGTTTATTTAGGCTTAGTATTTTTTTAAAGAATATTTTGTTATCTGGGGCATCTGTTGTCTTCAAGAACTATGAAGGAGAGAAACTAGTTTACTGTTTTTTCTAGTCAGACCACTTAGCTGTTACCTATTCCCAGCAATACTCTGCGTGTATGTTTGATTGCAATTGTTTATGTACAAGGGGGCCAAGAATAGGTTTATAGTTGTGTTTATGCAAAAAACGTAGTGTATTCTTGTATTATAATTTATTGATTATTGTATTATTTTTATATGAAAAACTGGAAACCTCCTTTTACTTCTCTCTGGATTAACCAAGTTAGCATAATATTATAATAGTAGTTATGTTTGAATACATGTACATCAGTGTCTCTATACAGTAATTACATTATAGTAAACTCCCAGTATGCACAAGAAGTTGTACAGATATAATCTTCAATTAGATAATAATCATAATGTATATTTTACACAGCATGATGACTATTCTTTATTCAATAAAATGAAGCTATAGCTGGTATTATATAAGAATATACATTTTCTCTCTCTCTAAAGCCTTTAGTCTCAAGAATAATACACTAAAACAGTGGAACTTAGCAAGTGCACTCAACAGAAATATGATGCAGCATTTTAAGTCTCTGCACTATAGCATCATGTTGGTAAAACTATATAAATGGATGAAAAATAATTGCTTAGCATTTTATTTAATTTTAATTTTAATTTTTTGGAGATCTAATTGGCTTTATTAAGCAGTTCATGAATTGGGCAGCATTCCATCTAGCAACTAGAAGAGTACTCCCTGCTTAGCGTTTTAAAAGACAGCACAGTCATAATTATTCTGAAAACTTTATTTCTAATAGTATAAAATGTATTCATTTCAAGAGACATTGCCATTAAAATAGTAAAATTCATTTCTGCATAATTTGTGTTAAAATGTTTATTAACTAGACTGTCAAATATGCTTTATATACTTAAATCATGGGACATAAAATTAGTTCATTACTTGTAATAATGCTAAGTAATATATAAAAGACCTACTGCCTTAATAGTATTACTGGTCCATTTATCCACTTAATTACATTCCTTTTTATCTAGTCCAGGATATTATAACTCACAATCCCTGGACAAGCATCAAGGGGTTCATGGATTTCCTGAGATTGTATATAAAATTCCAAGTGTATGTGCATTTTCTTAGGGAGAGTATTATAAATTTCACCAGATTGTCATAACAATGATCACAATCATCTTGTGACATTAATTTAACATAATACTGTATCAGTGAAAGAGGTAATTCCAGAATCAAGCTTTTACAACATATGTGTATATAATCTAGCCAAAGGAATGTACAAGTCAAACAACTATTAATTGCTTAATATTTATAAGAACTTCATGTTTTAAAACTATTAATAGTTTAAAAAAAACAGCTATAGGACTTCAAATATTTTTCAACTTCTTATATAAAAATCCAAATTAAAAAGATTGATATAATTTTCTCTTTTGGTGTTTTAATGAATGTTTTACTTCTCCAGTTCCATAGAAGTGTATTTCAGGTTGCTAAATCAAGTTTGACGCACATGAACAGCTCTGTATGAATGTTCTTTAGCAAAAGCTGTTTCCGGAGGACTTAAAGCTCTTCAGCCAAAACAGTGTCTTTCAGTGGGAAAGGTTTTTCAAGATTTATTCAGCAGCATTGTGGGAACATTTATGCTACATGCCAAATCTAAATTCTCTTTCATGAGTGCACTTTTGGACAACATTCAAAAATGGACCATAAAATTAGGCCACAAAAGCAAGAAATTAGGCATTGACCTTCATATTTTACATTTTCCCATGGCATTTCTGCTATATTATAAATATCCTTGGTAATGTTATCAGCTTTTAGGAAGATCTTCCTGATATTGGCTGAGCATAATGTTTGCCACTAAAATAGCCAAAATAGAAAATGCAATCACGATTATAATTTTCAGATCCCTATTTTTACATCTTATATATCCTAGTAAACAACATTTTATAATGCAAGGCTGAAATTTAAAAACAAAAGAAGAAAAGACTCTCTATCTGAAACATTTGGTCTCATTCTCAATGTATGTAATATAAATATATATGCTAATATATGCTAATATATGCTACATAAAATCTGGAAGTGTTTTTAAAGTAACTGAAGTTAAAGTAGATAATATACAAATTGCATAAATCATTGTATCTCCAAATCAATTTTGTATATTTATATTGTTATGTTAGAAACTTATACTATTTTATGTAGATTTTTATTTAAATGGGAATATTGTGTATCTGTGTGTTTCTATAAAACTTTCCACTTCAGTTCTAAAGCCAAAATACAGTTACAGAATGAAAATATATATAAGTTGGATATCATCTTTATTCGATATAATCCACTGAACTTTTTATTACTTGGCCTAGCGACATGGTTACCAGATTCTTTCTTAAAGAGATCATTTTGGTTGATGACTAACACACTTCTAAATCCTGTATTGGATAAGTTAAGGCAACATAGCCAAAAAATTAACCTGAGGAAAGCTGTCAATATACACTTTAGTATGAATAACATTACTATATTTTAATCATCATAATGGTTGGCTAATGGTTTTTCTTACAGAAAATGCTTTTGAGGACTTATTACTTGCAGCTGTTCTGTGTTAGCAGAGTGCATATCCAAGTCTTACTTCTCTTCATTGTCCAGGCAAAAATAATTTTGAATCATTTATTTGGAAATGTTGTTTCAGATTAATTAATATTCTTTCTTTTAAAAATATAGAATAGATAAATGTATTCTTTGTCTAAGATAAAAAGTGTTCCAATGGTTCTGTTATTGGCAAAGCATGCATTAATTATACCTTTTCCCTTCCAACTTCGTTATAGTGGTTATATAAAATGTCTGCAGTTATATTCTAATTTGAATATGAAATTTTAATATAAATTGGTCCTAGAAGTTATTGAAACAATTCTCATCCTTTTATTTTACAAAATTGAACTGTAGGAGAAAGGGGCTTTGCCTTATATTGTTATCCTACATCGTGACAATTATCTTGGTACCTGAATCTATAATAATTTTCTTACTGTAATAGGCTTCTTCCAGATAGTATGAATAAGTACAATCTATAGTTAATTACTAAAACTTCTATAGCTAATACTTTAAAACTTAAAATTTTCAATAGTTAATTTGGTATGGTC